TGGAGAGCACTAGCAGAATAAATTAAGCCCAATAATCTGTAATAAGAAGAGGAGAATCCGGCAGTAGTTCGTCTACCTGGGGGCACTCCGACGATCAAGTCTGTAACAAATATCTCTCACAGATAGCAAATAGTACTTAAACTCACAAGAGAGAACTTATCTTTGACCCACGAGGGTGCCTTACTTTTATAACCAGTAGTGACCTGATCCTCTTAGAAGCCTCACTTCAATGGACTCAAGCTCAGTGCTCATCTTGGACCCCCAGCTAGATAAAGATAGACTCTTATTGAGCCTTATCTTTATCCAGACTAAGGTCCTCCTCTGTTCTAGGACTCTAGTCCCTTATCCGTTTATCTTGGGTTCCGGCATCTCCGTAGATAACCTCGGATCTCGGCAACGTGAACAGACCACTTGGCACCTCAGCTGACACTTCGGCGCTACCTTAGCCACGTGTTGTTATTCACAAAATACTTCCCAACAAAAAACATAAGAAAAAAGGAAGTGAGAGAGAAATGCAATATCACTTTTTATCTTTTAAGGTTGTGTTTGGTTAAATGATTTGATGAGAGAAATAGAAAGGAAAAGAGAAATAGAAAGAAAAAAAGAAAGAATTGATAGAATTTGAATTCCAAGCTACATTTGGTTAAGTTGGGAATTGAAAAAAATAAAGAGCCTAACTAAATCCAAAACACAAAAAGTGGATTGTATTTCCCTCTTATTTTCTTTTCTATTGTGTTTTTCATTATAACTAAACAAAAAGTGATATTACATTTTCTTTTTTCCTTTTCATTTCTTTTATCAAATCCTCCAACCAAACACAGTCTAAGCTCTTTTCTTTTTCCATTTTCCAGTTCAACTAAATATAACTTAAAATTTGAATCCTACCAATTCTTTTTTTTTTATTTCTATTTTATTTTCCCTTTTTCATCCTCATTAAATTTTCCAGCAAAACACAGCGTCAATATTTTTACTAGTCATTACTTTTGCTTTTTTGTTTTTGTCTTTTCTAATTGTTTTGATCCAAGTAATTGAAATTAACTTTAATATTAAAAAAACACATTCACGTATTCTCTTTTGTTTGCTGATAAAACAAAAAACAAAATAAAAAAAAAAAAACAAAACAAAATGTTTATAGATTAGCCTTCTCGACCAAGTTAATTGACTCCCTTATTCCCTCCCCTTTGTTTTCTTCCCATACAACATATGTTCTTTTACAATTTTTTTTGGGTACAATATTCTTCTGTTATTCACTAAAGAGAAATGCCATATGTTGGGTAAATTACACTTAGTAACCTTGCATGTTTATCAAAACTTCCACTTGGTTTAATTTTGAAATTCATTTTAGAAGATAAATTATTAAAAAGAGTTTTAAAATTATAAAGCTTGTTTGGTTATGAGTTTTGAAATTAGTTTTTGAGTTGTATATTTTGAAAGTAATTTTTAAAAATTTACAAATTAAAAACTTCTTTAGTTAGGAGTTTTCAAAACTAGTTTTTAATTAGAGTGTTTTTGGGTCTTGTATTTTTTTTTTTGTCGTATAGTCGAAACTTTTTACAATATTATAGTCAATATTGTTTACTTTTGTTTATATACGTAATCAAAACTTTTTACAATATTATAATCAATTTTATTTTTATTTTTTATTGTTATATATATATATTTGTTTACTTCTTTTACATGCGTATTCTAAATGTACTTTGTGAACAGATCTAATATAATCTATAGGCCAGAGTTTCATATGTGTATATTAGTAATGTTTTTAAATTTTAAAACTGTTTTTTGGATTTATATCCACTAAATCTACATACATTTAAAACGTTTCATATTTATTACATTTGTTTTTCATTTCCCCACATTTTGTTTACCGTTTACATATATTTTTGGATCGCCCATATATATCTAAAGGAGAATGGTCTGGACCCCCACTGGGGGTGACCCCAGGGCACCCAGTGGGCTCTGATTGGTCATTTTTTTTTTTTTTTTAATCCAATGACCAACCCCTACTCTTGCTCATCTGGTATGTATGCCCTTTAGTGGATCTGGTATAGAATAGCTGAGAAGTAGGATGAGTTATCTTTGATCTGGTATAGAATAGCTCGGATAGGTCTTTTTCACACACTAACATATCTATTAATCAAAACATACTTCCGATAACTCATGGCACATAATTAACACACATATAAGCATATAAGTCACATAAAAGCACATAATTAAGGTAACCTTCAGATTTAACAGTTAATCAGGGAAGCGGGTGTTACAGTCTCTCCCCCTTTGGATGTTTGGTCCTCCAAACTTAATTACCTTCTTCCGGGAAGAGTGTAGGGTTTAAAGGTAACAATTCGGTGTATCTTCGCTTCATATCTTCTTGCCTTTCCCAAGTCGCATAAATTCCACTGTGATTTTGCCAATCCAATTTTACCAATTGGATTTCTTTATTTCTTAACGTCTTGATTCGACGGTTAACAATCCGAACGGCCCGTTCTTCATATGTGTAATCATTACTCATGGGCACAGGGGTAGGCTCAAGGACATGAAGGGGATCCCGAAGGTATTCTCGTAACATAGACACATGAAAGATATTATGCATATGTTCTATATCAAGAGGTTGGGCTACCTGATATGCCACTGGATTAATTTTTTAATGATTTCATATGGCCCAACATATCGAGAGACTAACCTTGGCCTCAAAACGAGTCTGCCCTTTCATCGGGGTGACTTTGATAAAACCATAGTTGCCCAGTTCATATTCTATCTCGTCTACGAACATCCGTATAGTTTTCTATCAACTTTGATAAAACGAGTCTGCCCTTTTATTTTTTTTGGTATAACATTTAGTTTTTTTTTTCTTTTTATTCTCATGTTTAAAGTTTTTATTTATTTTTTCTATATATTTTTTTCCCTTCACTTGTAGGTGTTATATGTTGTTTGATTGTTTTTTAATTATATGAGATGTAAAAAGGTTTAAAAAAAAAAATCAACATATTTGAATTATGTTAGAAAGTAAACAAGAAAAACAACTAATGAAAGTATTAAAAATATGTGAATGAAAAATATGTAGAACTTAATAATATAAGTGTAATGAAAAATGTGTAGCTAAAATCAGTTTAATTTTAACGTGTAAAATTTAGACTTATGGGTGAGACACAGTTTTAATTTTTTAAATAAATCCAATCCGCACCAACCCATTAATTGATTAAAATCCAAAAAATCTATTAAAATATAAAATTTAAATACAATAATTACGAGATAAATAATCTCAATCATCTCATTAATCACCTTACATTGGTTTGATGTATCATACATCAAACCAATATAACTTTACGGCATGAGAGGGTAACCAACATTTCAAATATACCAATATAACTTTACGGCATGAGAGGGTAACCAACATTTCAAATATTGTAACATTGTTGAATCTTTAATAATAGAGGACTATCACCCACCTCTTAAATTTTTTATTATTCATTTTTTATATGACTTGTCACGATATTTAATGCTTAAATACACATGGGAGTGAAATAAAAAATGAAAACAAATAGGATGTTAAATATGTATTTATTGATAATGAATTTTATTAAGGTGTATTCTTAAGGTATATGTTCAAAAAAAAAAAATGTACATTAAATATTTCTAAGACACAAGAAAATATAATAATAAAAATATAACACAAAATACTTTTCTTTTCTTTTTTTTGTTATCGAAATCAATAACTTTTTTAAACATTTTTATCTATGGGGGCATTGATTAATATTAGAATTGAGATAAAAAAAAATCTTAAAAAAATTAAAATGTATACCAATTTTAATTTTAAAAAATCAATTATACATGTGCTAATTATGATATGAAAAATGTTTAAAACTTCTAAAAGAATCACTTAATTTAATCCACAATGATGTAATATGATATGTGTAAATTTTTAATTTTTCATACACTAAATTATATAATTTTTAATTTTTCATACACGCAATTATATAGGACTCCACTACCTTACCCCATGATTGTTGGTGAATTTAGGGGCCTAAATTGTGGGTCTCTAATATTTTTCTTATGATATTTGTGAGGTTTGTTTATGACTCATTGTAGTATTAGTTGTGACTTGATTATAATTTGTGATATTGGTTATGATTTTGCTATAACTTATTATTGTTGTTATTTTGATTATAACTAAAGAGATTATTTGATTATGATTCTTAATTATGTTATGTTGTGGTGTTGATTATGTTGAGTTATGCTATTCTTATTGTAATTTTGATTATAATTAAAGTCATCTTTAGTTAGGTCTCCAAAGTATTCGATTATGATTTATGAGGTTACAATAATATTTTAATTATGACTCCTGAGATATTTAGTTATGATTTATGCAGTGTTTGATTATGATTTTTTTTTAATTATAACTAAAAAAATATTGACTTACGTAATTTTTTTATTTAATTATAAATACATATAATATGTACTTTTTGATGAGATGTACCATAATTTTTCCCATTGTAACATTATCTTAAAAAAATATCTAAATTCAACCTAAAAAAACATAGATGGTGTTGTCTAATATTTTTGTGATTTTTCAATATTGCAAGTTTAGAGTCCGTCACCGTCGCCAACTCTACTTCCGGGTCTCTTCCTCGTCTTTATTATTGGATTCCAAACCTTGCCGTTTAAGTCTATGCAAAGACGGACAGCTCACATATAACACGTGTCTCAATTTCATTGGCCCCATTAATTAGGTATCTTCGCCAACCCCCCATCTACAAACACAACCCACACCCCTTTCCTCTTCTCCTCACAATTCAATCCCAACCTCAAGCTAATCTCCAGTTCACTTCTCCACAGTCCCCAAGGTATCATATCCTTCTCTTCTCTCTCTGTCTACAGATCTGTATTTTTTTTTTTTTGAGATTTGAAGATTTTTTTAATTTGTGATTGTTGTTTTGAATTGTTCGATTTATGTTGTGGTAGTTTTCAGATTTTGATTCTGAATCTTGTTATGAATTGTGTTACAGATGCAGATCTTCGTTAAGACTCTTACCGGAAAGACGATCACTCTCGAAGTCGAGAGCTCTGACACCATCGACAACGTCAAGGCCAAGATCCAGGACAAGGAAGGCATTCCACCGGACCAACAGCGTCTCATCTTCGCCGGAAAACAGCTTGAAGATGGCCGGACCTTGGCCGATTACAATATTCAGAAGGAGTCGACTCTTCACCTTGTGCTGCGTCTCCGTGGTGGTTTTTGAATTGTTTTATGATCATATTTTGTGTGATGTTTCTGTGAAAAAGTGGTGGTGATTTCGGTGGCCCTATTGTGGCTTATAAATAAAATTGTGCTTTGTTATAATACTTGTTTTTATGCAATCAAAATTATGAACGTAGTTGTTGGTAATCTGACATTCTAGGCCCAAGTTTTATTTTATACGGAATTTTTTTTATTTTTATTAAAAACATGAAATTAAAAATATAAGGTGGTTAAGTCCATAGAAAAGATTTGAAAAGTGAATAAATTAACAGCAATGATAAAGATTTCATAAAATATAATCCCACAATTTTTAAATTGATCCGAAAGTTAATCCGAATTATTCATGTCCCTGTTAGGCATAATTTTTTAAAAAAATTTAAACACATCAATAGTTAATACATCAGTGAGTGTCATGAGTGGGGTAAAAATAAAAAGAAGATCAAGTCCTTGACTTAATATATATATATATATATATATATTAAGTCAAGGACTTGATCTTCTTTTTATTTTTACCCCAAAAAAATTTGGGAGTCCAGATCTGTCACCAATTGAAGATTAATTCTCTATTGATTTAAATTGCTTATATTGTTTATAATCAACTGAAAAAATTGTTCATATAGAAATGAAATTTATTCAAGCTTGAATAATCGCCGTTAATTTCACTAATGGTAAAATTTTACCAAAGAAATTGAGATTTTCATTAGCAATAGAAATTTATTTTTTAATGTGCTAGTCTAAAAATTTCACATTATCAATGAAAAAATATTTTAAATTAAAATTTGTCAAGATATGATTTAGTTTTAAAAAATATATTTATTTAAGGAAGATACTAAAAAAATTGGCAAGGTTGTCTCCTGTGCTTATTTAAACATTTATATGGATTCATTTGGCAACGACTTTTTGACTTTTTTAATCTGGGTTAAAAAGTTTCGTTTGAAAAAGATTTTTGATTTTTTTAATTTTTTTGTGAGAGGAAAAAGGTAATTATTATGGGTTGAATGTGATGTTTTATTTTATTGAACTAAAAAGCTTATTTTATTTTTTTTGTGACTAAAATAGTCAAAAAAAACGTCAAACTTGGCTTGCCAAACGAAGCTTATAATTTGATTGGAAGTTTTAATGGTCAAAGTTGTAAATTTAAAAATTGTAAAAATTTTGGATATATTTTGATTTTTGTTTAGTATGTGGATTAATTTTTTGACTTTTTGATTATTTTAGTCTGAAGTTAAAAAATTTCGTTTGGGATGAGTTTTTTTACTTTTGCGTGGGATGAATTTTTTGATTTTTGTGAGAAAAAATAAAATGATTATGATTTAGATATAACATTTTGTCTTATTAATTTTTTAGCTTATTTTATATTTTTTTTTGGCTAAAATATCCAAAATAATTTATGCCAAACATAGCCTTAATGTCGATTTGGTTTAAGAAGAGAAGAAAAAAATTAATAATTTTATTTAAATTTATATATGATATCAAATTGGAGATGCCAAAATAATGAACAATTTAAGGGGATAAGAGGCACTAAGAGCATCTGCATTAGACTTTCTACAATAGTTTTGAAGCTATTATAGAGAGTATCAACATCAAATCCTTCCTCCATTAGCCTCAACAATTTTTTTGTAAATTAATTTTTTGTTAAATTTGCTACAATACCTCAACAAAAATAAAAAGCCACTGTTCATTAGCTACATTATTTTTTATTATATTTTCTAGAGCAAAACTGGACCAAAATCTTTAAACCGGTCATTCACCCGGATGTCCCGTGAGTGCCTGTAGCAGAAGAAAAAAAATGTCCAAAATTAACCTAACTGCTTGATTGGTCAACGGCAAATTATTATTATTATCATTTTTTTTTTTTGCATTTTTTAAGAATTGTTTGGGTAGCACCTCATCAATTTAATATAAAAAAAAAGAAAGAAAGAATAACAAATACAATAAGAAATTAATATTTTAATAAGATTGAGTTAAAATAAAGAGTTTGATACAATAAATACTAAAAGATGTGCAAAAAGTAGTATGTTTGGAAACAAGTTAATTTAGTAACATTTTGGCTATTTGACTAAAATATAAGCTAAAAAAAACTAGTATGTTTGGGATGACTTTTTGACTTTTTATGAAAAGATGTGTAAAAAGTAGAGAGAAAATAGAATCTTTGACTTTTTGGTATGAATTGTTGACTTTTTGATTTTTTTGGTGACTTTTTGACTTTTTTGCTAAAAAAGCCACTTGCCAAACAAGGTCTAAAAAGGTAACTAGTTAAAATAGAAAAAGTGAATTTTGGGTTAAATTTGACTAAAAATTTGAAGAGTCTGATGCAGATGCTCTAAGTGTATTTATTTAGATTATATCACTTTTTTATTTTTTATATATATTTTCTTAAAAAGTCAAAAAATATATTTATTTAGATAATCTCAAACAAACAATCCCTTTACACCAAGGACATAGAAAAACACTTGTACTAAAAAATATTATTATTATTATTATTATTATTATTATTATTATTATTATTATTATTATTATTATTATTATTATTATTAGAAGAAGAAGATTTAGGGAAAAAAAAAAAATGATAGTGGAAACTGATGCCCAAGAAGTTGTGAAGCTACTTGTAGAAGACCCTGGAGAGAAACACTAGTATAAAGGTCCGGTGAATGGTGCGAGGATCATATTCAATGGCTGCCAGTGCACTGCCCAACATGTTTATCGTAAAGGAAATCTTTGCGCGGATGCTCTAGCCAAATTGGGAGCTGCTCAACCTGAAGACATCTTAGTTGTTAATGACCCTTCTGCTGAGATTAAGAAGCTGCTAGTTGCAAACATGCTGGAGTTGGGTAGGGAGAGGGTCTAGTCCTCTATTTTGGGTTTTATTTTCCATTGTATCAAAAAAAGAAAAAAAAAAAAAAAAAAAGAGATAAAAAAAAAAAAAAAAACAATGAGAGAAGACAGATTTGGAGGTACACTATTCATCCAAACAGATAATCCCGGTAAAGAAAGAAAAATATTAGAGATCTCAGAAGTTTTACTAAAATTTTTATCAAATGTTTCATATGGATGTGGGACCTACATCATGTGAGTCCCATGTAAGTCTCACACTCATGTGAGATATTTGATAAAAATTTTAATAGAACTTTTAAAATCTTTAACATTACTCATGAAGAAATTGCCATTCTACCAAGCGATGTGCTATCTTATTCCCAAGGCATTTGACAAGAGAGAAACAAACTTGCAGAAATCCACCACACTTCTCAAAAGCTTTGACCAATTATTGCAATTATAAAAGTAATAATTGATTTATTTTTAAACATATATTTATCTTCTATTTTTTTAAAATTAAGTAATTAGAAATAGAAGATTATCAAATTGATTTAAAACTGAACGGTTGTTAGATTGAAATGAGATCTGCGATGGTTTCATGAGCCTTTCAAATCCTCATAAGTTCAAATTTAAATTTGAGAAAAGTTCAATGAAAACAGGTAAAATGTCTCTTTTGATAAAGAGCATGTTAGAGACACAAAAATAAAACTTCACTAGTAAAACTGCTTAGATGTCCATCTCATCTCTTGTGTTGGAATGGTTCTAAGGCCATGTTTGTTTGGCGATTAGGTTGGATGGGATTCTGAGTACGGTAAGATTGAGTGAGGGAATTAGGAATGTGGTGGTATTAAATTAGAGAGATAAGATAAAAGAACATTTGTTTATATACCACTAAATTAGTAATATCATAGCAACAATTCAGGGCAAAAGTGTATTTCAGTCTTTAATCCAAGAGATTGATTTGTCAATCTCATCCCATGTGAGGGTGTAGAGGGTTAGAAATTAAGCCCCAAATTAAGTATGGACCTAAGTGTTGGGGTCGCTTCTTTAAGGCGACCAGGAATGACTGAAGAAGCATAGGCTAAAGCCCAGAGGAAGTGGGCCAACAATGGACTGAAGCAGGTTCGACCTGCGAAGGGTCCAAATGGACTCCACGAAGGAAAACGCCTAAGTCAAGTTGCAGAGGCAACACATGCAACGGTCAAGTTGCAGAGGCAACATATGCAGGAAGAAAGTTGCTGAAGTAATTTGCCTCAGCGCCGTCGTTCCTAATATCTTCGATATCCGAAGTTGCTGAGGGAAAGAAAAAGCCGACACAACTAAGTTGCAGAGGCAACACTTGCAACAGTCAAGTTGCGGAGGCACTTCCCTCCAGCGCTGTCATTCCAAGTAATGTCGGTACCATAGCCATCTGGAGTTGCTGAGGGAAGGAGAAAATCGAAGCAACTAAGTTGAAGAGGCAGTACTTGTAGCGCCCAAGTTGTGGAGGCATTTTGTCAGCGCTGCCGTCTCTAATATTGTCGGTCTTGTCATTTGAACTTGCTACGAGAAATGATTGCCGCAGCAACTATAGCCGCCGCAACCAACTTGCAAAGGGAATATCCCACCAAGGTGATAGTAGCCTTTGGAAAAAGCTTCCCCTCTACAAGTAAAGGCTAATACTTCACACTGATAGCAGGCCCCAATGCATTATTAGCCTAGGGCTGATAGCAAGCCCCAAAGTTCATCTAATTTGACGTTGATAGCAGGCCCCAAGACTTACTGGTTGGAGCTGATAGCAGGCCTAGAGATACTAGTCTACTGCGATGATCCTGCGAAGATGAAGCAGGGTAGCCTAACCATAAGGGACTTCCTTTCCATTACCCAAGTCATGGACCTACTTTAGTCGCACAGGCAGGACTAAGGAAGCCCCCTTAGGCTTGGTACTAAGGCACAACATGGCTGATAGCAGGCTTGGCTGTGGTTTTTGCCCTAGAAAGCTGGGGAGTTTGTGGTTAGGTGGCTAAGGGTAGAGGCTTCGCTGGGATAAGCACGAACATAGTCGATAGCAAACTAATGGAGTCCTGAGAATGCATGTACTGGCCAAATAAAACTGAAAAGGCAAGTGCAGCGGCAAGATTCACCGCTGCAAGTGCACTTGCTGAGGTTCAGGTTGAGAAGGGAGTTGCAGCGCCAAACACTCTCATCGCGACTACACTTGTTGAGGCTAAAAAAAGGTAGTTACGGAGGCAACAGATAGTACATAGTACATGCAGAGAGATGCGTGGCACCTTCAGCCTGGTAGCTCAAGGCAGAATATTCCATGTGATCCTCTGGGA